TTAGGCAACACTGTTCTCAATTCTGATCGATTTTGAAAACAAAGGGACGAAAATTATTGTGACCTTAAAATAGTAATATTATAAAAATATTCTATAACTCTTTTGTTATAATGTTTAGTAACGTTTCTTTTTTTTTTTCAGTTTTGTAGTATCTATAATTGCGATAATTATTGCAGCACGTTGCCTCGAATGTCCGAATATAGAGTTAGTGTCCGAGTATAGTACTATTATTTAATTATTACGTGTAATAGAAAAACATATATAATGCCAAGAATTAACAGTGCGCTGTCTTTACAAAAACCTGGAGTTGGTCATACGTATGAGTTCGTTGCTTTCGAGGAAGAACGTGGTCTAGTTTATCCCACCTAAGATGCTATCCAAATAAACGGAGTTAGATATTCGAGAAATAATAAACAAATAACAAAAATTTCACACGCGGCCATCATTAAGTGAACCTCTTCTGATTAATAAGATTTTACCATATTTTGTCAGAAGTAACATTTTCATTTGTCCTGCCATTCAACAATTTGATCAATTACCAACAGAAAACCATCTAGTAAAATTAATTAAGACAGTCGCAAGTTCATATGTATATTGAGGTGCGTTTTCATTATTTAAATAAATCGATAAGATCTTCTATTACAAAAAGATTGACTGGCTCCGTCGCCGAACGGTTACCATGCCGGACTGCCATGCAGAGGTCCTAGGTTCGATTCCCAGGCCAGAAGAAATGTGTGTATGGCGTACATTTATTTCTCTCGTGAGTTTGAGTGTAATTTGTGGTTGTCTATGTGTGTGTCCATGGCACCCGCGACACAGGGTTTCCCTAGTGCGGGGCTATGTTGAGTATGTGCGTTATTATAAAAAGAGGTTATATAATAAGCTCATTTTACTGGAAGGACAATAATTTTAATATTTGAAGTCGATTAAAAAGTAGTCTGAATTTTTTTAAAAGTAAAATAAAGGACTAAACTATCTTATTCTAGTATTTTTCTACTATATTAATTTTACAACTACTTAATAATAAATTTATTTGCCATAATAATAATACAACATGTATGTACAGTAAGTAAGTATCAGTAGATATGACCACTGGTACTTAAAAAGGAAAACCTGTGCTATAAGTTCAAGCAAACCTTCCAATGGCGTAGTAAAATTTACAATTTATTGCGTTATTTTATTTATACATTATGCAAAAATAGTAATAAGAACTAGTA